TGTAGGGAAGAAAATTGGATTCATCTCCTATTGGCCAAAAGACTTAAAGGAAAAGAAAGTTATTAACATTATAGCTTAGTAAAGGTAGACAGTAGATAATAGTTTTTATATTTGATCAAATTTATATTTCTTTCTCATGCTAATTTTTTCCCTGAGCTCTAGTCCCATATGTCTCCACCTGTCTTCAGAACCTCTCTTTTTTTTTTTTCAGAACCTCTCTTACTTAAATGTAGTGTCATCTTCTCAAACTTAACATGTTCCAAACTGAAGTGAACATGATGGCTCCTCACATCCATTTAGTCCTCAAATCTTAGCAGTTCTTCCTTCAAACTCTCAGATTTCCCTTTCCTATTTCCCTCACCATCACTGTACATCTAGACTACTCCTAAAAACTCCTAAGTGGTTTCTCTGCATAATTTTTCTTCCGCATTTCCAACAGCAAGTTTACCCCAGAATTAATCAGAATCAAGCAGTTTCATCCTGTCTCAACACAAAACCTCTAGTGACTCCATTGTCTAAATTCAGCCTGGCATTCTAAGTTCTCCATACCCTCACTTCCCATTTTCTCAACCTTAGCTTCTACCTCTTTTCAACCTAAATGATGTACTGCCACTAAATTGATCTCCTTTTGCCTTCTGAACACATGTTATGTGTTATGTTCCCTGCCTCAGGTCCCCTTCCCTATGAAACTTCTCCCTTCTCTTATTCATCTTATAACTGGAAGTTTATACTCTTTAACCAACATCTTTCTATTTCTCCCACCCCCCAGCCCCGGTAATCAATTTATTCACTGTTTCTATCAGTTTGGCTTTTTAAGATTCCACATGTAAGTCATATTATACAGTATTTGTCCTTCTCTGCCTGACTTCACTTAATATAATGCCCTCAAGGTTTATCCATGGTCACAAATGACAGGATTTCATTCTTTCTCATGGCTGAATAATATTCCTGTGTGTGTGTATGTGTGTGTGTGTTATCTTCTTTATCCCTTTATGCGTTGATGAACACTTAGGTTGTTTCCATGACTTGGCTATTATAAATAATGCTGCAAAAAACATGAGGGTGCAGCTATCTCTTTGAGAGAGACAGTGATTTTATTTCCTTCAGATATATACGCAGAAGTGGGATTGCTGTATCATATGGTTCTATTTTAAATTTTTTGAGGAACCCCATATTGTCTTTCATGATGGCTGCACCAATTTACATTCCCACTACCAGTCACAAGGGTTTCCTTTTCTCCATATCCTCACCAACACTTATCTCTTTTTGATAATAGACATTTTAACAGTTGTGAGGTGATATCTCATTGTGGTTTTGATTTGCATTTTCCTGATGATTAGTGATATTGAACACCTTTTCATGTTCATTTTGGCCATTCTTATATTTTTGGGAAAATGTCTATTCATGTCCTCTGCCCATTTTTTATTTGGATTGTTTGGGTTTTTTGCTACTGAGTTGTATGAGTTCTTTATATATTTTGGATATTAACCCTTTATCATGATTTTCAAATATTTTCTCCCACTCTTTAGGTTGCTTTTTCATATTGTTTATGGTTTCCTTTGCTGTGCAGCAGGTTTTTAATTTGCTGTAGTTCCATTTGTTTAATTTTGCTTTTGTTGCCTTTGATTTTGGTATCAAATCCAAACAGTCTTCACCAAGACCACTTTCAATGTTTTCTTCTAGGAGTTTTATGATTTCAGGTCTTACGTTCAAGTTTTTAGTCCATTCTGAGTTAATTTACGTGCATGGTGTAAGATAGTGGTCCAGTTTCATTCTTTTGCGTATGGTTGTTCAGTTTTCCCAGCATCATTATTGAAGAGACTATCCTTTCCCCATTGTATATTCTTAGTTCCTTTGTCGTAAATTAATTGACCATACATGCCTGGCTTTATTTCTGGACTGCCTTTTCTGGTCCATTGATCTGTGTGTCTGTTTTTATGCCAGTACCATAATGTTTTGATTACTATAGCTTTGTAATGCAGTGGTCCCCCCTTATCCATGTGGGATACATTCCAAGACCCCCACTGAGTGCTTGAAACCATGGATACTATCAAATTACCGTGGTTATAGTATATACCAACCCTGTATATACTATATTTTTTCCTATACTCATGTGTGGGTAGCATATATGATATGAATACACAGAACAAAGGGATGATTCACATCCATGTGGGACAAGCAAACTCTGCTCCTCAGAACAGTGTATTATTTAAAACTTATGAACTATTTACTTTCTGTAATTTTCCATTTAATACTTTCAGACCACAGTTGACCTCAGATAACTGAAACCGAGGAAAGTGAAATACACATAAGAAGGGGACTGCTGTATAGTCTGAAATCAGAAAGTGTGATGCCTCCAGCTTTGTTCTTCTTTCTCAAGACTGTTTTAGCAATTCAGGGTCTTTTGTGGTTCCATACAAATTTTCAGATTATTATTTCCTATTTCTAGAAAAATGCCATTGAGAATTTGGTAGAAATTGCACTGAATTTATAGATTGTTTTGGGTGCTGTGGACATATTAACGTTAATTCTTTCAGTCCACTGGTATGGAATATCTTTTCATTTATTTGTGTCTTCAGCTTCTTTCATCAGTTTCTTATAGTTTTCAATGTACACCTTTTACCTCCCTAGTTAAATTTATTTCTAGGTATTTTATTCTTTATGCTGCAGTTATAAATGAGATTGTTTTCTTAATTTCTCCTTCTGATAGTTCATCATTAGTGTATAGAAATGCAACTGATTTTTTTTAACAGTTTGAATCCTGCAACTTTACTGAATTTGTTTATTCTAACAGTTTTTGGGTGAAGTCTTTAAGGTTTTCTATGTATAATATCATTTCATGGGCAGATAGAGACAGGTTTACTTTTTCCATTCCAGTTTGGATGCCTGTTATTTCTTTTTCTTGCTTAATTGCTCTGGCTAGGACTTCCAGCACTGTGTTGAATAAAAGTGGCAAGGGTGGGCATCCTTCTCTTCTCCCTGATCTTAGAGGAAAAGCTTTCAGCTTTTAACTGTTGAGTATGTTGTTAGCTATGAGCTTGTCATATGTGGCCTTTATTATGTTGAGGTACATTCTCTCGATACCCAGTTTATTGAGGAAAATATTTAATACTTCTTAATATAAGTCAATACTCATTCGTGATTTTTTTTTAATTCCTAACATAGTAGGAATGAACAGGAACTTCCTTAAACTGGCATTTACAGATTACATGATTACAAACATGGAAAATCCAAAGGAAACTTTAGCCAAATTATAATATAAGAAAATTCAGCAAAATTGCTGAATATAAGGTCAGTTGTATCTGAATTCCAGGCACAAAGAATTATAAAATGAAATTTCAAGAGTAATATAGTTTATAATTGCAGCACAAGTCATCATATACCTAGTAAGAAATTGAAAAGTGTACAGGACCACTCAACACTACACAGAAAACTATAGAATATTATTGAGAGAAATTAAGACCTAAATAAATGGTGGGATATGTCACATTCACACTCTCGCTACTTTTATTCAACATAGTTTTGGAAGTCCTAGGCATGGCAATCAGAGAAGAAAAAGAAATAGAAGGAATCCAAATTGGAAAAGAAGAAGTAAAACTGTCACTGTTTGCAGATGACATGATACTATACATTAGAAAATCCTAAAGACACCACCAGAAAACTACTAGAGCTCATCAATGAATTCCAGTAAAGTTGCCAGAAACAAAATTAATATACAGAAACCTGTTGCATTTCTGTACACTAACAATGAATTTTCGGAAAGAGTAATTAAGGAACAATTCCATTTATAATCGCATCAAAAATTAAAATACCTGGGAATAAACTTACTTAAGTTAAAGAACTATACTCAGAAAACTATAAGACACTGATGAAAGAAATTGGAGAACACACAAACAGATGGAAATATATACCGTGTATATGGATTGGAAGAATTAACATTGTTAAAATGAACATACAACCAAAAGCAATCTACAGATTCATTGCAATCCCTGTCAAAATACCGAGGGCATTTTTCACAGAACTAGAACAAATAATTTTAAAATTTGTATGGAAACGTGAAAGACCCTGAATAGCCAAAACAATCTTCAGAAAGAACAGAACTAGATGAATCATGCTTGCTGACTTCAGACTATACTACAAAGCTACAGTAATCAAAACACTATGGTACTGGCATAAAAACAGATACGTAGATCAGTGAAACAGAATGGAGAGCCCAGAAATAAACCCATGCACTTATGGTCAATTAAGCTACAACAAAGGAGGCAAGAGTATACAATGCAGGAAAGACAGTCTTGGCAATTCCCTAGTGATCCAGTGATTAGGACTCTGCACTCTCACTGCCAAGGGCCCAGGTTCAATTCCTGCTCAGGGAACTAAGATCACACAAG